AAGGGGGAGCTGGGGAGGGGGCGGCAGGCGGGAGAGGGCCTTTATGGGCAGGGAACCTTGAAAGTAATAGCACCGATACTGCATTGTAGTGCTTAATAACTCAGTCGTGGCTAGTTACTGTAAATAAAACTTATGTGGAAGTTCTTGATTGGAAGGTACTGCTTCGTTGCAGTTCGTCTTTATTATGCTGGTTCGAGGTAGGCAAACTTTTTTTTTTCTTCAAAAGACAAAAAAAAAAGTGGAATTTGCTTGCTTTGCAGTGTCTGATTTACTTTGCAACCTGTTCTTCAGGAGGAGGATTATGGATCAGTGGGGGTTACAGCCCTAAAAGTAAATGGAAACAAAATACGCCTGTTTCCAGAAAGTTGCAGGCATGACTGCTTTCTGGTCTTTCAGCTGAGTAAAGTTGCTGTGGGTGTTTTAGTGGCTGATACGTGTGTGACAAGAATTCAAAACACTTTTTAAATGTCAGAACAAATTCTAAGAGTTATAATCATGGAAAAAAACCGCATGTGAAATGGAACCCCCCCCATCCTATAATCTCTTTCGCAATTTGAAAGAAGCATGCACTGAAACAAACCTCTTGGAGCCTGTGCTACTGTTCAGACTTCAAAAAGAATTGAAGACCAAAAGATTCTGTGCTGCAATACACTTGAAGTTGAATAGCAATTTTGGAAAACAATAGCAGTTGCTACAATAGCAAGATAGAGAGTCTTGTATTTATTTCTAGAAGGAGAGAAAGTGCTGCTCTGCTGAAAGCGAAACTGGTGAGGTAATACATAACTTGAACATGACAATTTTTAAAAATATTTGCCAAAAAAGTGTTATGGGCTTAAAAAAAAAAAGCCTGTTGAAATCTGTTCTGATTTAGGAACTGAAACAAATAATGGCAGTTTCACTAGACAGCGTACTTAAAGTCTCTTCCAACACCTAATCCAGCATATATCTAATCAGGCATGCTGCACATTGTTCATACTGAACTAAATCGGAGCCTTTCTTTGCCAACCTCTGTGATGCCAGTGCAGAAGGCTTTTGCAACAGTGTTCCCTGGGGGTGGTGGTGTGTGTTTGGTTTGTCCCGTAGGGACAAATTTACTTACATCTATCCCAGAGAATTGAATAATTTTGCGTTCTTTATGCTACTGACATCTGTAATAGCATTTTAGTTCATTTTCTTCAGTCAATGTGAATATAATTATGTCAGTTCTTCTCTCTTTTCTGGGTTAATAGTCTATTTTGGGACTGTAGTCACGAGCTCATTAAAAAGGATAATAGGAGTTTAAATCCTTCTTTATCCGGTCCTGGTGATGTTATTAGGCATTAAACTTTCTTATGTGAATTTTCATGGAAAGTACATAGAAGAGAAAGTATTTTTTTTTCCCCAGCTCGTGAAGCTTCAAAAACATTGTTACCTAGAGATGACAGAATAGTAGCAGAGCTCTTCGGTATCGCTTTATTGTAGTTACAGTAGATTCTATCCACTACAGTCAGAATTCAAACTCCTTTGTGTTCGAGTGCTGTATAAACATATCTATATAAAGAACAGGCACTGCTGTCGTCAATAACTTACAGTCTAACTACGCAAAATGCAGCAGATGATACAAAAAGGGAAATGGAGGTAAAAGGATGAGATAAATGTATAAAAATATAAATAGTCACAGCTGTTTTATGTGCTTTATGATTCAGAAATAATAAAGTATATCTTACAGTAAACTTGCCTATTAGCACCTGTACAACTCATTACTCTGACCTTGCTAGCTTTTTCAGTTTTCTCTTCCAGCCTTCTGAAACTTAATTTCTATCCATCTAAATTCCCTACATACTCTCCAGCTTCTAACATATGTTCCACCCACGTTTATTCAAACAGTTTATGTTGATTTGCTCTCTGTTGAGATTCTCCCATTCTTGCCTTTGTATAAAGTTTGTCTTTGAATTTCTTTCTTTTCTATCAATAGCAGCTGCAGTCACCATTCCAAAGTTACTGTGTATTTCCATCTTTGAAGGCTGTTCCCTAGCACAGATAAGCAGCGCTTGATGGCAGGGAGAAGAGGCAAGCAATCTTGCTATTGACTTTCTTGGAATTTCAGTAGTCTTGCACAGATATCTCTGTTGCTCCTGTTACTGCAAGTCAAGTAACAGACAGTCCTTATTCTTTAAGACTTAGCCTTCCTCTATAGGCGCTCCCCTTTCCCAGGCTGGCACGCTATGTGCAAGACTGTGCAAGAAGGAACTTGTCCAGGCTGCAGCCTTATGTTTACTCCTGAACGCTACTTTCTAACTCACATGATGTATTATATAGGTCTCTCACTGTGTAACCTGACACGCAGCTTTAGCATACAATTTATTCCTTCCCCATCTTTTCCTCATGTTGTGGTGTCACTTGATGGATGGGGTCCTGTGACCTGAGAAAGTTAAGAGGTTTGGGTGGATCTTACCAGCTGTGAGCTCTGGGTCACAGGAGTAGTGCTTGGCTGAACTAATATACCACTGGGCTATGCTAATTCGATTTTACAGCAATGTACTACTTGCCAGCTCAAACATTCAGCTTACCAGGCACAGTCATTCAGTTGGGAAGTTAACCTGTCGTGGTTCTCCTAAAGTTACGGTGTGAGTTTTGTTTCTGGAGCTGCTGGAAAAGAAAGACTGCAGTATGTTACCAGCAACTTAATAGAAAATATGGAAGTTGTAAGGAACACAGGAGGACCTGTTTTATGTTTATTTTTCCACGCTTCTGAAATTTGTGAGTTGGGTATGTTCTGTTGCAGTCTTAACTGTTACAAGTAATATTTTGTGCCCATAGAATGTGAAACTTCCAGTAGATTTTTTGTGTCTAATGTCGTAATAGTGTGAAGTTGATCTTAAAGGTGTTGTATTAGAACTTGATGTCTCACTTCTGTAGTTGTTATTATCTGATAAAATGGAGAGCTGTAATACCTGCAGGAGACTTGGTGTGGTTGTTGCCAACCTATTAAAAGGCAATGGAACTCTGATGAGCTAGATATCGGGTTTTGATGCTTAAAGCCATTTTTGTTCAAATTGTGAAAACATGTGGAAAGTTGTGTGCTGTTGTGGACAAATCCTTACATTTCCTGTCCAGTATAGCCGTAAAGTAGTACCTTAAAAACTTGATTTCTTTAGTGTCATTTGTGGTAACTTGTAAATAAAGCCATTTCTGAATTGAACTTGTCTGCAGGAAATAGTTTTAAGTGTTGCTGCTGCAAGCATTGTTTAAACGTTTTTGGCTTGGTATAAATACATCATAACAAAATAGATGATAAATTTGATATTCCTTTTAGAGAGGACTGTGACCGTTTTCTCCAAAATCTTCAGCTTTATGAAATGCATCTTTGAACAAGATATTCCAAGAAATATCTGTAAGCAACACTGTGAAATTTCAAAACCACCATATTGTTGTCTTTTCTTCCTTTCCTTCTTTATTAATATAAAAACTCAAAATACTTACTACTGATAAAGAGGTAATTATAACTGGGAATCTGGGAAGTGGGAGTCATCTTTATCCATGGAATGATGTGTTGTGTATTGGTGGTATGATTTTCACCATTGCTCTGGCACTGTCTCCTCATCTATAGACAGTGCCTGAGGAGGAAGTGATTAGTTCTGTTTCTGTTCAGTTTTTAGTTACTTTGCTGGGATGAAACTATCTGCAGGAATGTAAATTATGATGGTGAATTTTGTGTTTGATGGGAACTGGACCGAGCCTGACAAATCAATTTGCAAAGGCCAGAGCTATCAGACAATAATAGCTTGCCTTCGTTTACTAGCCAGTCTAGATTTGAACCAATGACCTAGAGGTGAAAAGCTCAGTACTCCATTATCAATCCTCTGATCTATCCATATGTTCTCTTGTTTAAAATCCCTGTAGTCCTCTTAAACAGAACATGCAGTAAATACTGAGCATCGTTTGCACTTGTAAATACTAGAACACTGTCCTTTCTAATTGTCTGCCGTGCATGTGAGGACACTGAAGTTAAATATAGCAACAATTTCTTACACTCTCTGGCTTTTCATGAGAAACCCTCATAGAAATCCAACCATATGGCAAAATCCAGCATTATCTTAAGACCATTAACTAAGAAACTATTGCTGCCATTACCTGGGAAATGAATCCACAGCTCTAAGTAGCATACTGGGAGTTATTAATAGCCTCAGGCTGCTGCTAAGAAAATTTAAATGAAATATGATTAGGAGTCATCCCACCAACATTTCTTCTGCATGTCGTATCCATGTTTATATTTACCTATGGAGGCTTTTTCAGAGTATATTATCCTTATTGCATGTCTACCTATTTTTTTCCTCACTGAATTATCTTCACTGTGTTCAATGTTGTAAAAGCATAGTGGAAAATAATTTCTTTTCCAGAGATTTCATAAAATAGGCTAGACAAAATATTTGGAGTAGACAGATAAGAGAGCATAATCCATTTTGCCATTCATTCGGAGGTAGAATGTTTCTAGGCAACCTACACAACAGGAGGAGGTCAAGAAATGTAAATACTTGTCTGTCTTATTCTCAGGTTGTAAGGCTATTAAAACAAGTTAATACCTGCAGATCATAATTTCTGTGAGCTGCAGAAATAACAACACTTGCATTGCTATGGATTTAGATTTGTCTTTTTATCTCCTTATCCCTTTTCCTCCAGTCCATAACCCCATTCTCTTCCATAACAAGAGACAGTGTTGTGCCTAATCTGTACTGATTGACATACTGCCAAATGGAATATATGAGAGATGAATTTTGCCTACTTCTCCATCACCAAATGTGCAAATTGTCTTTTTTTCTCTGCCTGACCATCCGTTTTCATGTAACCTGTAGGACCATAATTATTTTTGACACCTCTACCTTCTTGTGCCAATGCATTCAAAAAGTTTCGTGAGGAAACCAGTTCTGGTCACATGCTTCTGCAGGCAATAATAAAGATAATTTGCTGTCTAGCTTACTAATGAAATGAAGCTTATATGATCATGTTGTTTATTATATCAGTGGCCCCATTTCTTTTCTCTCCCACTTTTGGCTCCGAGTACTCCACTTAGAGCAGTGTCCTCCTTTTATGCATAGCATTTCTGGTCTACAGGAGATGATGAGTATTTGTTTTGTCATTTTTTCCCCACCCCTGTTATTGCACTGCACATGTTTTCCCAGGGTTCTCTTATTACAAGCAAAAAGTCTGAACTTCTGCT